CGGATGGGGCTTCCCAGCAAGGGCCCCTTGCCAAGGGACTGAATGAATGAGTGAACAAATGAGTGGCTGCAATCCACATACCTCCCAGGAAAACCTGGCTCTCAGAGAGGTTGCATCTAACTTCTGAACTATCTCCTTGAGCACTATAGCCTCACCGGAAGAAAGACACGAGATATCAAATAAAGTAAACATTGGTTGTTATTGTTTTCTGTGAGAGTAAACTGGAAAATGGATATAACATAGGCTTGACAAGCTGTGTGTCCACGGCCTATTTATTGAACTTTTCTGAACTTCTTTTTCATCTGTGAAGCGGAATTAACAGTACATACCTTGACGCTGCTGTGACCAGAGTTATTTGCAGAGTGGTTGATGAACCTGCAACATCAGCATCAGCTGGGAGTCTGTTAGAGATGCAAATTCTTAGGCTCCAGACTAAATGAATCATAATATCTGGAAATGATGTTCAGCAAATTGCTTTCACAAGCCCTTAGGGGGATTCTGATGCAAATCAACATTTGAGTAGCATTGGATGTAAGGATCAATAGTAGAAATTTTAAGGGTCAAAAATGCTCTGATTAGGGCTGCACTACTTTGAATGGTGGTTCCATTACCTACTTGCTGTGTGATCACAGGCAAGATGTCTAGCCTCTCTGTGGCCCATTTTCCTCATCTCAAAAATGACTGTTGTTGTAGAGATTAAATGAATTAGTACATATAAGGCAGTTAGCAGATGTTCTGACACGTGGAGCATAACAAATGGTATTATTGGATATTTAAATATGAAACAAGGTCATGTTATTCATATGTATAATATAATAATTACTCATAATTATTGCCTCTACACATGAAATTATGGTTAATTTCATTTTCCTTGTCATATTCCTCTTTACCTATTTTTCTGCAATTAACATGAATTACTTTTATAATCCGAAAGAAAACACTATAAAATAATTTGCATTGAAGGAGGGAAAATATTAACAGGTAAATTACATGAGGTGTTGGGGGTGGCTATGAACTATTTTACGGGTTCTCCTGGGTCTCTCGGCACCCTGTGCCCTTATCCTTAAAGCCAAGTATACTTTTTGTTGGTTTCTGTGCACACACATGTGTTTGATAATTTCCATGTAATTCAATCAGGGAGAACAACTTTTTAGGTCTCATTACCTCATGGACATGGGCTCCACATGATTAGATTGAAATGTTAGTCATCCCTTTCGTATTCATGCAACCACTTGGTGAACAAACCCAGGCTAGTCTAGTGGATCATGAGATACACCCTGTGGAATTGAGTTAAGTCATCTTAGCTAAGGCCACTGTAAACCAGTGAGCCCTCCAGCTGATCTAGCAGCAGACTACAGAGGGAGTCCAGCTGAACTCAGCCCAAACTGCTGACTTACGGAATCGTGAGCTAAATAAACGAATGTTGTTTGAAGCCTCCAAGTTTTAAGTTGAGGGTCATTTGTTACAAAGCAAAAGCTAACTGACCTACAGAGTAGATCTCAAAAGTTTGCTTTCGTGCCATCATCCTCTCTCCCAGTTCTGCCCTCCATACCCTGCAGTCAAATTTCTTTTCACTCTTTGATGTTAGGAGTTTTAGAAACAGTTGGACTATCAGGATGAGTAAGCAGCAGGCAGCAAGTAGAGCAGAAATGCAGCGTGCTTGGAAGGCACAGTCATGGAAGGTGCTGTCTTTACATCCTTTTCTAAGAGAAAATAGGCCAAGAGGAAAAAAGGAAGCCTGACTTAATCTAAATTTTTCATATGGCATCTCAGGAACAACCAATGATTCTATTCTGAGCCTTTTCCTCTATTGAAGCTGAAATGTATTTCCAGTTTAATGCCTGTGTTGGTCTGAAAGGAAATACTGAAGTTGTGGGCTAGGACAGGAAGAATGTCACTGGTGAAATAAAATCTTGTCATCTCACTTCATTTCAGGAGCCAGAAAAAAATTTGCTACAGGGCTGACCCTAAATGCCATCACCAATCCGAACAAGTGGTTGTTAGTGGCACCTCTTGACCACTGTGTTGTCAGTCATCGATTTATGAGAGCTTGGGGGCAGCCTTCTGGGCAGAACTAGGGTGTTCTCTGCGGCTTCCCAAATCCTTTAAGAAGTAAAAAAGATTTTGCATTTGCCATTGAGAAATTGCCAGTTCTTTTCTAACTTTTGGGTCATATGGATCTTAACTGGATGCATGAGGCCATCTTAAGTGTTTAGAAACACCATAGTTGACATCTGTGAATCACTCACATCATGTCAAGCAGGGTGTAACTTCTTGATGTGTGTTAGTGCTCATAACAATGCTATTATCATCAACCCTATTTTACACATGAAGAATGGAGGAACAGAAAAGTTAAATAACTTTCCCCTACGTCTCAGGCTCTTAACCTCTATGCTAAATTGCCACTACATGCAGGACCGTGCCTGAACATAATAAATGCTCAATATTTGTGCCCGATGATGTGAGCCCTAATGGTAATATTGTACCCAGCGGCTGGTGAACACATTTATAGAATGAATATTAGTGACAGGGCACTTATTTATTCTCCTCTTCTGTCCTTATATCTCCACTTAAAGGGCCACTCTTAGCACATCTATTCTTTCTGGATTTCAAGGGGACCACAAAATTAAAAGGTGGCAATTTGGTAGGAAGTTTATGAGACTTGTCTGGAAAGTGAGTTTTTTAGCGAGCAAGTAGTTTTCACTGAGGCTGTGTGTGCATTGCGACTGAGGGCTGGGGTACTGATGGAGCGCCTGGGCATGGTGAGTAGCAGTAGGACCCATTTTCCTGCCACTGTCATGGTGACTTCCTTCTTTTCTTTCTTTTCCATAAGATGTTTTAGATAAACAAACATCAAAATTTCCTGGGCTCAGTCAATTAGTCTGTCTTCACTGATAAGGAGAACCTTGCAAATGCAATTTCCCCTCCCTTTCAATAAACAGGCCAACCCCCTTTTATCTCCCTCTCCAGCTTCTCCTCCCACCCCACGTACGGGCACAGATGTGCACAGGATGCACTTGTGCATGTGCGCACCCACGCACCCACACCCACACACACACCATCTTTTCTTTTATTCTAAACCAGGAAAATTCAATATGAGATCCTGTCTTTCAAACATAATAGCTCAGAGATAGTTCAGACTCAGCTTAGAATCAATATGCCCTTGGTGAAGCCACTGGAATTCCAAGTTTTCCCAGCAGGCTTCAGACAGAAGTGGAGTCAACATATTTGGGCATAAAATGAATTCCAATGAGCTCCATTAAATAATGTCAATGCTTGGGGACACTCACTAGTTACCTGGGCTGAAGGGCACACAGCTTTGAAGTCTCGGACTTCAGTAAAGGAATGTTTAAAATTTCAGTCATGAAGTGAATTAACATGCTTTTCTTCCCTGCCAATTTTGGAAGTAGAAAGATAATTTTATATGGGGACAAGATGGGACAAAGGAAAGGACAAAGCTTATGATTTACATGTGCTCTTGGGATTTCAAATATAGATGCAGGGACAAATAAGCAAGTCACAGCACCTTATCATGGGTCTATTTAATTATAAATTCATTTAAGACACATATTGGGCACCCATTGTATGGGAATTGTCAGTGTGTGTGTGTATGTGAGAGAGATAAAGATAGCATTTCTGTCACCCAGAAGTTTGTAGTTGAATTCTGATGCAAGACTTTGGATCTGGGCACACGCCCAGGGTGAAACTGTAAAAGCAATACTTTGAAACCCACACGGCCCCAGAAATAAAACCTTTTTTAGATACCCCAGTTTTATTTTTTTGAGGCCAAGTTTTGCTTTTGTTGCCCAAGCCAGAGTGCAATGGTGCAATCTCAGCTCACTGCAACATCTGCCTCCCAGGTTCAAGCGATTCTCCTGCCTCAGCCTCCCAAGTAGCTGGGATTTCAGGAATTTGTCACCATGCCAGCTAATTTTGTATTTTTAGTAGAGACGAGGTTTCTCCGTGTTGGTCAGGCTGCTCTCGAACTCCTGACCTCAGGCGATCCACCTAACTTGGCCTCCCGAAGAGCTGGGATTACAGGCCTGAGCCACCACGTTCAACCTAGACCCTCAGTTTTAAATGAATATACACTTTCCCCAAATATAATTTGATAGCTAATCTAAATTCTCCCAATCAGAAACTTCCTTTGCCTTACAAAACTCCTGACCTAAAAGTTAAGGAGGGTGGACTGGTTTTCTTAACTGTGGAAGACACAGCATGAGGATGTGAGGATGTGGTTTGAGTGGTTCAGTTTCTTTTATGCTGGCCATCAGTTCCAGTTACTGAAAGAGATGCCCTGCCAGCTTCAACCTTCCTAAAACCAAAGACGAACTGAATTCCCAAGTGCACGTTCAGAAATTGAGAGAGCAAGCTATAGACGGTGAGAGAGAGAAGGAGGTATTTCTCAGGAAGAAAATTTAATATTAGTTGGCTTTGGGGGAGAATGCTTAATATCAGCTGACTTTTGGAGAGAATGCCACACTCTACTGGGAGTCCCTTAGCAATCTTTCCAAACACCTCAGCTCTCTTTCCCTGATCCTGGACCCACTTTCCTGTCTGGCATATGCTTGCTTAAGACTTAGCAGATGATGGCCCAGGTGCAGTGACTGACACCTGTAATCCCAGCACTTTGGGAGGCCGAGCTGGGTGGATCATCTGAGGTCAGGAGTTCGAGACCAACCTGACCAAGATGGTGAAGCCCCTTGTCTACTAAAAATACAATAATTAGCCAGGCATGGTGGTGCAGACCCGCAATCTCAGCTACTCATGAGGCTGAGGCAGGAGAATCGCTTGAACCTGGGAGGTAGAGGTTGCTGTGAGCCAAGCCTGGGTGACAGAGCAAGACCCCATCTCAAAAAAAAAAAAAA